CAAAGAACAAATGAGTCAAAGAATAAATAAAAAAAGAAATGAGAAAATATTTTAAATGAAAATGAAGACAAACATACAGAAACTTAAGGGATGCAGGAGATGCAGTGCTGAAAGGACAATTTATACCTATAAAAGTCTACATTACAGGGGCGCCTGGGTGGCTTAGTCGGTTAAGCATCCGACTTTCGCTTGGGTCATGATCTCGCGGTTTGTGGGTTCGAGCCCCACGTTGGGCTCTTTGCTGACTGCCAGCTCAGAGCCTGGAGCCTGTTTCAGAGTCTGTATCTCCCTCTCTCTCTGACCCTCCCCTGCTCACACTGTCTCTCTCTCTCTCCTAGAAATAAATAAAACATTAAAAAAATTTAAAAAAAAGTCTACATTACAGAAGAAGAAAGATCTTAAATCAATAACCTAACTTTTTACCTTAAGACATTAGGAAGTGAAGAGCAAACTAAATCCAAAGCAAGCAGAAGGGAAGGACACAATACAGATCAGAGTGTAAATAAATGAATAGAGGAGAGAAAAGAAAAAAGAAAAAAGAAAAAAAAAAGAAAAGAAAAAAAACCAATGAAACCAAAGGTTGGTTCTTTGAAAATATCAACAAAACTGACAAACCTTTAGCTTAACTGACCAAGAAAAAAACACTCAAATGACTGTAATCAGAAATGGAAGAGAGGACATTACTTTCAATCTTACAAAAGTAAAAAAGGTTGTAAGAGAAAAGCGTGAACAGTTCTACACCACCAACTATATAATCTGGACAAAATGGATACATTCATAGAAACACATAAAGTACCAAAACTGACTCAAGAAGAAACTGAAAATCTGAATAGACCCATAATAAATAAAGAGATTGAATTAGTAATTTAAAAACTACCACTACAATCAGCAAAATTAAAAGGCAACTGAAGGAATGGGAGAAGATACTTACAAATGACAAATCAGATAAGGGGTTAGTATCCAAAATCTATAAAGAACTCATCAAACTCAACACCCAAAAAACAAATAATCCAGTGAAGAAATGGGCAAAAGATATAAATAGACATTTTTGAAAAGAAGACATCCGGAGGGCTAATAGACACATGAAAAAATGCTCAACATCCCTCGTCATTTGGGAAATACAAATCAAAACCAAATGAGATATCACCTCACACCTGTCAGAACGACTAAAATTAACAACTCAGGCAATGACAGATGTTGGCCACGATACGGAGAAAGGGGACTCTTGCACTGCTGGTGGGAATGAAAACCGGTGCAGCCGCTCTGGAAAACAGTATGGAGGTTCCTCAAAAAATTAAAAATAGAATTACCCCATGACCTAGCAATTGGACTACTAGGTATTTATCCAAGGGATACAGGTGTGCTGTTTCGAAGGGGCACATGTACCCCAATGTTTATAGCAGTGCTATCAACAGTAGCCAAAGTCTGGAAAGAACCCAAATGTCCATTGATGGATGAATGGATAAAGATGTGATGTACACACACACACACAATGGAGTATTATTCAGCAGTCAGAAAGAATGAAATCTTGCTAATTGCAACAACGTGGATGGAACTAGAGGGTATTATGCTAAGTGAAATTAGTCAGAGAAAGATAAATATCATGTGACTTCACTCGTGGAATTTAAGATACAAAACAGATGAACATAGGGAAAAGGAAGCAAAAATAATATAAAAACAGGGAGGAGGACAAAACATAAGTGACTCAAATACAGAGAACAAACTGAGGGTTGCTGGAGGGGTTGTGGGTTGGGGGGATGGGCTAAATGGGCAAGGGGCATTGAGGAAGACACTTGTTGGGATGAGCACTGGATGTTATACATAGGGGATGAGTCACTGGATTCTACTCCTGAAATCATTATTGCAGTATATGCTAACTAACTTGGATGTAAACTAAAAAATAAAAATAAATGATTAAAAAAAAGAAACTACCCACAAAGGAAAACCCAGGACCAGAGGCTTCACTAAGGAACTCTACCAAATGTTTAAAGAATTAACTCCAACCCTTCACAAACTTTTCCAAAAATAGAAGAAGAGAAAACACTTCCCAACTCATACTGTGAGATCAAGGACTTGATTCCAAAACTAAAGAAAGACATCACAAAAAAAGAAAACTACAGACCCACATTTCTTATGAATACACGAAAATCCTCAACTAAATCTTAGCAACCAAATCCAGCAACATACACAAAGGATACACACCATGACCAAGTGGCTTATCCCAGGAAAACAAAGTTGGAATAATATATGAACATCAATGTAATATACTGTATTAATAGAATGAAGGACAAAGGTGATATGATCTTTTAATCTTTCTGATATAGGAAAAGCATCTGACAAATAAAACATGCAAACAATCAAGAATGGAGGAGAAATTCCTCAACATGATAAGGGGATTTATGAAAAACCCACAGCTAATATGTTTAATGGTGAAAGACTGTACTTTCAGCCTAAGATTTGGAACAAGATTTCTATTCAACTGTGTACTGGATATTCTAGCCAGGGAAAATAAGGAGAAAAATAAATAAAAGTCATCGATAATAAAAGGGAAGAAGTAAAACTATCTCTGTCTGCAGGTGACTTCTGGTGTATAGAAAAGCTTAAGAAACCCCTTATGAAACTACTGTGAATAATTAACAAGTTCAGCAGGGTTGTAAGGATACAAGATTAATCTTTAATTATATTTTTATACATTATGAAAAATCTGAAAAGGGAATTAAAACAACTCCACATAGAATCACATCAAAAATAATAAAATGCTTAGGAATAAACTAAAGGAGTGTGAGAGTCATATGCTTAAAACTACAAACACTGCTTAATGAAATTAAAATCTAATAAATGGAAAGATAGCCCACGTTAATGAATCAGAAAACTCTTACAGTCACACTCACCCCTGCCCCAGTCATTCCGAATCCCTGACAACCACTCATCCATTTTCATTCTCTATAGTTTTGTTATTTCAAGGATGTTTTATGAATGGACTCATCCAGTATATAATCTTTTAAGATGGGTTTTTTCCACTGGGTATAATGACCTTGAGATATGTCCAAGTTGTGTGTGTATCAACAGATCATTCCTGTTTATCTTGCCTCCTTATGTAACTCTTGAATATTTTTAGAATTCTACTTTGATTTATCTATGGTATTCTTTTGGTGTACCTCTTTGCATAGATTTTTTTTAAGTGTTTGCTCTAAAAAGTCATATTATATTTAGCTTAGGCAGTTACTGGCGTCAACATTTTACTCTTCTGAGATAGTGTTACAGATCCCTGAGGTTTTCTTCACTTTCTTCAGTCTCCCTCTCTGCTCAGTGTAGGTAGTTTCTATTGTATGCTGGGATTTCCCCATATGGCTGGTGGAAATAGGCATCATTCTTTGCCTTGTGTGAAAAAGTCATATTGTATTTAGCTTAGGCAGTTACTGGCGTCAACATTTTACTCTTCTGAGATAGTGTTACAGGTCCCTGAGGTTTTCTTCACTTTCTTCAGTCTCCCTCTCTGCTCAGTGTAGGTAGTTTCTATTCTATGCTGGGATTTCCCCATATGGCTGGTGGAAATAGGCATCATTCTTTGCCTTGTGTGAGTGCCAAGTGGCTCTTTCCTGTCCTAGAGCACACATGCACACACGTGCTTATCAGTGCTCAGTCCAGGACTTGAGAGGGAGCCTCTACAGACTTTTGGGGCTCTGTCCCTCCCTTCCAGGACCAGTCCTGCAAAGTCTAGCTGCTCTGGTCCCCTGGACTCTCAGCTCCGTCTCTGACTAATGGAGTCCATTCGTGTCCACCTGGCTTCCTCTTCCATGGATGAAGGCCTGGAGATGCCCTGGAAGCACTGAGCTGGGACAGTCACAGGTTCACCTGTTTGTTTCCTGTCTCTTGATCATTGTCCTTTGTTGCTTGATGTTCAGGGTCTTAAACACATAGGTTTTCTTTCTTTTCTTTCTTTTTTTTAAAATTCTCAAATCTTTCTTTTATTCTTATTTTTTAAAAAATGTTTATTTCTGAGAGAGAGAGAGAGCAGGGGAGGGTCAGAGAGAGAGGGAGACACAGATTCTGAAGCAGGCTCCAGACTGTCATCACAAAGCCCGACATGGGGCACGAACTCACAAACCGTGAGATCATGACCTGAGCCGAAGTCGGACACTTAACCAATTGAGCCCCCCAGGTGCCCCTATTCTTATTATTTTTTTTAATGTTTATTTATTTTTGAGAGAGAGAGACAGCGTGAGCAGGGGAAAGTCAGAGAGAGAGAAATACAGAATCCAAAGACAGGCTCCAGGCTCTGAGCCAGCTGTCAGCACAGAGCCCGATGTGGGGCTCGAACCCACGAACCGTGAGATCATGACCTAAGCCGAAGTCGGACACCCAATGACTGAGCTACCAAGGCACCCCGAACACATACGTTTTCTATATGTTGTCTGTTTCAGATATTTGGTCTGGTCCCTGCTGCTTTGTGGTGGCTGGGTACAGGTGTCGCAGTAATTATTTTTCGTTGGAAAGTAGTTTTCCTAAAGATACATTATATTAATATGTAATAGTTTTCTCACTGACTTTAAAATAAACTAATAGCTGGTTAAAAAAAATGTTTCATTTTAATTTCTAAGATGGTAAGAATTGATAGGTGCAGCCCACATAAATCAAATCTCTTTGGTATCCTCAGTACTTTTTAAGAGTGTAAAACCAGGGGCGCCTGGGTGGCTCAGTCAGTTAAGCGTCTGACTTCAGCTCAGGTCATGATCTCACAGTTAGTGAGTTCAAGCCCCTGTCGGGCTCTGTGCTGACAGTTAGCTCAGAGCCTGGAGCCTGCTTCAGATTCTCTCTCTCTCTCTGCCCCTCCCCTGCTCATGCTCTGTCTCTCTCAAAAATAAATAAACATTAAGGAAAAAAAAGAGTGTAAAACAACAGACCAAGAAGTTTGAGAACTGCTTACATAGGTGAGTTTATTTAATCCCCATGAATTTCTTTATGAAGGAGGTACTATTCTTATCTGCTCTATTTTACAGATAAGCAGACTGAGGCCCGGAGTGAGGAAGCAGCTGCCTGAGAAGATACAGTTAGTAGGTGTGAGACTGGACAGTCTGTGCTCTTCAGACCAGCACGCCGCCCTGCCTTGAGCAGTGTGGGTTTCCCGTCTGAGCTTCACAGAGTAACGTTAGGTGCAGGCCCAGCCCTGTTGTACCATGTGTCTCCACCCACTTCTCACCCAGCAGAACCCGTGGGCTCCGAGCCTGTTCACATTGCCACCTTGGGGTGTCCCCAGAGGAAAAAACGTGTGGTGGATATGTGCCGTGCCGTCAGGCGAGAGCCTCACACCAATGGACCGGAGCCTAACGGGCAGATGGGCCTGCAGCACTGCGCTTCCCTGGGTGGCACTGGTCAGGGCCCTGGGCCTCATTTGACACATGCTCATTTGATGGAACAGCATCCATGCTGGTCAAAGTCCCTGTGCCTTGGCGGCCGCCACCCCTGCCTGTCCTGGGGCAAGCCTCGGACCCCGTACAGCTCCTCAAGTCCAGGATGCGTAAGATGAGTTTGAGCACCAGCTGCCTTTGCAAACAGATTCTGTTTTTAAAAGAATTCTTTCCACCAAGATTTCTTCATATTATAAATTCCCTGGGTGTAAGTAAACGTTTTTATGCGTACAAATTCAGCTCAGGGCAACACGTGTTGAGTAAAATGGAATCTGAGATGCTTTGAGCAACGGGAGTGATACGCATTCACATTCAGGCAGCTCCTAAGAGTATGAAACTCACCAAGAATGTTTAAAACGGCTTTTAGTAACAAATATTTACTGAGCAACTTCTCTGAGTAGGGCCCTGTCCTTGGTCCAGCGGCTAGAGCAGCGAACAAGGCAGGAGTCTGTCTTGGAGAGTTTACATGCTGGTGTGCAGCATATTCCTAACAGGACACAGGTTATTTTACACAACAGGCAGCGCAGCATTGCTGGTGGAAGCAAACAGCTGAGTGCCTGCTGTCCGTCTAGCAGCCCTCTGTTGGGGGCCGTGCTGCATAAAGTAAACAGTTTCAGACTGGTAGGGTATAAAATTTGTCTGAAAAACAAAATAAAACAAAACAAAACACACCCAACCCCAGCTATCCTCATAAAAGCTGGATCTGCAAACTGCTCACGGTGCCTGTGAATGCCCCCCTACCTGCCCCTACATAGCACGAGCCCGAGGGGACCTGGGGACCGTGTTTATGCACTACACAGTGAGAACGGTGCCCTGGGGCCGCTCTGATAAGTGCCGCACAGGCGGGACACTTGCCATGAAGGAACGGCATGAAAGTGCAAGCACCAAAGGATCACAATTGTGCGCATGATAACTGCACAAGTAAGACGGGAATCAGAGCATCGTCAGCACCCATCTTTGGGGGTGAAACTCAAGGCCTTTTGCTTCTACTTCTGGGCGTTTCCCAGCACAATGAAATGTGTATAGCAGAAGACTAGAAAATAATTAAAATCCTCCAGATCACCTTGAGGTCTCACTCCTTTCAGGGAAACTAATCACCGGCAAGAAGGTGTCTCAGTCACTGTCCTTGGGTTGTTCAAAGGAGCTGCGGATTCTCTTTCCTCTGTGCCCATGCAGGGCTCGGTTTTGGCGTGCATACATGCCCTAAACGTCAGGCTTCCCCGGGGACTCATGAACTCAGGAGTTTAGTAAATGCTCATTTTAGCGGCTGCCGAATGGACGCAACCCGGGCAGCGCCCCTTTTCTGGTGTCTGAATGCGGAGGGCTCCGTGGCTCCTTTGTTCTGCCGGCTCCTGGGCTTGCGGGCGAATGGGCTTTCAGTGGCCCGCCCTGCAGGCGCCTCCCCAGGGAGGCCGGCCTTTCCTTCCTGGCTTCCTCCACCCTCTCCTGACCCCAAGGTGCCTCCGGCCCACCCTCCAGCTGAGTCAAGCCTCCTGCCCGGGGAGAGGTCACACTGGAACATCTGGGTGCCCGTGGCGGCTGGACACTCCCAGCTGCTGCCCAGTCCTTCCCCAAGTGGCCGTGCCAGGCGGGCCGCGCAGCTGCTGTTTCCTCCAGAGAAGGTGCTGGCAGTGCTCAGGGAAGGAAGCGGCCGAAGGAGGTGGAGTGGCGATTCAGCCCCTCGAGGTAGAGACGCTGCATGGTGTCTGAGTGGTGCTTTTTGCTTTCAGATGTGCATTGGGGCGTGGTCCCTGCCATTCCCTTTTGTCCTCTAAGTGAGGGTGATAATGTTGCTAATGTTGGGGTGAAGGAACAGCCCCAGGGTGGTCTGCCCCACTGGTTTAGCCTCACACACCAGCTCACCTTGGCTAGATGACAGGCCTTTGCGGATGGGGCCAAGTCTGGGCAGGTTGGGGTTTTGGGAGTGTGGTGAGGGGGGGCGCACAGCTGATTTTTATTCTGGACAGAGGGTGCTCCTACAGGAAGGACGGTGGGTTGGCTGTCCTAATGGGAAAGAGGGAGCAAAGTGGACCCCATGTGTGGAAGAGAGGTGTGCTTAGGAGCAGAGAGAGGCTGGTGCCCCTGCAGGTGAAGTTCTCTGTGGTCACAGTGCACAAGTGATTTCTTGCTGGGTGACCCACACCATGACGCTTTGAGGTGTCAAAATGTGGCATTGCCTAGTACTCTGTGGGGTTGTGCTAGGCCACTCTTGTCCCAAATCTGTGAGTTGCATCAAGCCTACTCCAGAGCTAAGGTAAGAGAGAACTGGCATTTTCCTTTTGGAGTCCGAGGCCAGCCAGTCTTTGCACAGGAGCTGTGAAGCTCCGTGGTCCTGTTACACCCCTGGGCAAACCAGACCTTCAGAAGGGTTCTGTGTTCTCTGTAGGCTAAGAAAACCTCCGTCTCTTATCTTTCGTTTTGCAAGTGCTAAAGGCGTACGATTCTGCCATAATGGTAGTTAGACTTCTTTCACGGAGCCCTGCTTGGGCCAGCAAGAAGAAAGGGCTGGTCAGATGATGTGTATAGTAGCAGATCACTATCTGAGACATGCTCACATTTCAAAATAGAAATGTTTCATTGTTAAGGCAGCAAATGACCTGCTATCTGTGGATGCATACTGGTGGATGTGCATCCACTGTTCATTTCCGCCAGGCCCAGCTTCTCCTTGAGGCCAGGTGCTTCCCTATCTTTCCTGGGGGTGGTCACCCACCACTTCAGGAATTAACTTTGGACCGGTTAGTTCCGGTTAGGCACTCCTGCCTGATTGTGGCCCAGTGTGGCTATCCCCAGTGCCCCGAGGGGGAGATGCCTAAACCAGATTCAGGCGGGAGAGGCCCTTTGAGCAGAACTGTTGGGGTGCCTTCATTTCACATGGGCCATCATTAAACAGGCATTGCACGGGTTCTTCATGCTGGGAAGCCACCCTGGCTCCTGCTGGGACCTGGATCATGGCGAGAGACCCTGAGACTTGCTCAGGGCTGCAAGGCCTTCTTGGCTCCCACCATCATGTGGGGGTGGGACTTTGAATCTAGATACCAGAGGAGGCCACTTGAGGCATTTTAGGATCCCCAGTTTCTCTCCATCCTCATGTTACTAATTAGGCTGGTCTGGTCAGAGGAAGCCTGGCCCCTCCCTTGGCCCCCACAAACCCTCACCCCTGCCTATCATCCCTGGGCACTGGGCTGGCTCAGGTATGGCTGTGAGCTAGATGCAGAGTGATGGGGAAGTCCCCGGAACCCCAGAGGGTGTCGTGTCTGTCCTTGCTTGGAACCCTCCACCTTCCTAAGGTGGAATCTGAACGATAGTGTGGCCCTCGTGCTCTGGACCCCTGGCCTCTCTCCCTTATTTCCCATGCCCCCTGCCTCCTGGTTCTCCAGACCCACTTCCTTCTTTCTAACCTTGAGCTCCTGAGCCCATTCCCACCTCAGGGCCACTGCCCTTGCTGTTCCCCCTGCCGGCTCTTTTCCTCATTCAGGTTTTAGTTCTTTTTTTTTTTTTCTTTTTAAATTTTTTTAAGGTTTTTTTTATTTCTAGAGAGAGAGAGAGCGTGAGCAGGGGAGAGTCAGAGAGAGAGGGAGTCACAGACTGAAACAGGCTCCAGGCTCTGAGCTGGCAGTCAGCACAGAGCCCGACGCGGGGCTTGAACCCACGAACCGTGAGATTATGACCTAAGCGAAAGTCGGACGCTTAACCGACTAAGCCACCCAGGCGCCCCATTCAGGTTTTAGTTCAATGCCACTCCTCAGAAGACTTCCTTGGCCCTCCCGTCTAAAGCAGCTCCCCACGTTGTCTTTTTCTTTGCCACCCGTCCCTGCCTGAAGTCATGTTTGTGTTTTATTTACTGTCCGCCACCACCGCGCGTCCTCTCATTCACTGCTCTACCTCCAGGGCCTGAATAGCATGATTATCTGGAACGAATGGGTGTGAGTGAGCATGCCAGGCAACCACAGCTCTTTCCTGCAGATCTCTATGAGGCTGGCCCGTGGCTCTGGGGAGCCTCCAGTCTCCAGCAGAGCTGAGCGATGCCCACAGCTGCCACCGAGCTATTGCTGAGCCTGCCCTTCGCCTAAGAACAAGGCATGCTGCGTGGTCGGTGAGGCTACGGGCACGTACTCCTGTGCTCAGCAACCACACTAAAGGAGGTATTCAGGCTTTCAGGTTGGCGTGGGACCCCTCAAGACAGGGAGCAGGTCCCTTTGGCGTTCTGCCTTCTACTTTTCATCCTTTTTGCTGCCTACAGAACCCCAGCATTCAACGAACCATCCAGCTGGGCATCCATTTCTGGTGCACGGCCCCTAGCGCACCCGTTCGTCTTTATCAGCAATTGTGGAAATCCTTTTTTCTGAAACAGGCAGATGAGCCAAACAGTCATCCATACTTTATGCTTGAGCCAGTTACAGTGAAACACTCTTAGCTAGGACACCACTGCAAAAGAACTAACAAGTGCAAACTGCTCTGGCTTCAAGATGCCAGCTACTTGGGAACAGATGCCTTTATCAATAAAGCTCATTTCTGCAGGTGTAACTGCACGTCACCATCAAGTCCCCGATCTGAGCAATGCTGTTTATTTGTGGGCTACTCCTTTGCACTGACACTTCTAGATGGTCTTTCTCTGTTGCCAAGCTAGAAGCCATATGTTCAGTAGGGTGAATAGATCGGGCGGCTCAGCCCTGGCCTCACAGTGGGATATTTGGGCTGCTTCCAGTTATAAGCTACGCTCCACAGACCAGCTGGAAATATCTGCCTGTAGGTAGAGTGAGCGAAGGTTTTTTGTTTATGTAATATTTTTCTCCGAATAGAGTCTGCCAATGGTTTGAGTCACAGGGCCACTTTAAACGCTCTTCTCTATCTTGTCAGTAGTGCTTCATCATAGAAAGGAGTCCTCGGTTCTCCACTGGAAGGTACCTTTTGCGAGGTTGGGGGTTACTCGCATACTTGGATGCAATGGTTATTTCGCGCGGAGGGCATTGGTCTGGTATCTCAGTATGTAGACTAGGCTCACGACTAGAAGGGCACCCCTTCACCTTGGCCTCCCCAGGGTGGGACCGCGTGGACCGGGGGGGGGGGCCCCAGGACCCCAGGAGGGAGTCGGTGCGCAGAAATGGCTGTGTACCGAATGGAAGCGTGAAGGTGACCTCTCTTCCCCTGGGGCCGCAGCAGGAGCTCGCTGCTTGGAGGCAGCAGGGAGGTGGTCCGAGCACCGGTGTCCCTCTGTGCTCCCCAATCCCGGTCCGCCCGCCCGCGTTCGCGCTCTAGGGCCGCCGGGACAGCCGGGGGAGCGCCGGGCGGGGGCGTCCCGGCGGGGCTGGGGGGCTCGTTCGCGGTTATTATAACTTCACTCCCTTTAAAAGGAAAACTATGCCCGGAATCTGGGGAGGTGGCGAGCGAAGCCCGGGCGGGGAGGACGTGACCCGCGCCCGCCGCGGGCCAAGCTCGGGTGTCCCCAGGGCTGGCACCGCGCGGACTGGCAGGGCCCACCCCTCCGCCCTCACTCCCCCACTTCCCACCGCCCCCTCGCGGGCGGGGCGGACCCCACCCCTGCCCCCCGCCCCACCTCGCGGGCAGGGCTGCGCGGCGGGCGGAGCCGCTCTTGGCCTTTTTTGGGCGTCTCCCCGCTCGGCGCCCGGGACCTGCGGGCTGGCGCTCGGCTGGCTGCGGAGGCGGCAGAGGAGGGTCCCGAGGCGACCCCGGGCTCAGCGCGCGCGGCCACCATGACGGGAAGGTAACCAGACCCCCCCCCCCCCACGCCCCCGGGCGGAGGGCGCCTCGGGCCGGGAGGGCTCCTGCCTGGGCGGGACTACGGGACGGGACCCCCGCCCCGACCCCTGCCCTCCGCTCCCGGGAAGCCGGCCCATCCACCTGCCGCGCCTCCGGCTGGCTGCCGGGGTAGCAGCGTCCGTCAGGACCTGTGCCCCTGTGCCCCGCTGGTGTCTGGCCGCTGGTGTCTGTGCCGTTTCGCCTGCACGACCCCCCACCCCCCACCCCGCCGCCTACCCTGCAGGATGGGCACAGTTATCTCGTCACTAACGGAGAACCAGGTTTCAGAGGGGCCGGGGCACCCACCCAAGGTCACAACCAACTGAAAGGCAAGGCGTTAAAACGCAGACTGTCGGCTTCTATCAGCTTCCCGGACCCCCAGCTGTGTGATCCCGCTGAGATCTTGCCTCTGAAGCCCCTTGTTTCCTCCTCCATAATCCCGAATGGGGAAAATGTTAAAAATGATAAAGGGTCTATGTGGGGGTCTGGCTGGAACTCTGCCCAAGTAGAGGCTGCTCGGGGCTGGGGTGGGGACAAGGCACTCCCCTGGGCCTGGCCCAGGCTGGGCTCTCAGGCCCTGTTGCCATTTCACAGATGAGGTAACTGAGGCCATAGAGGCTGAGTGACTCAGGAGGCCAGTCACATGTCCACTAGTGTCTGGCCGGTGTTGTCCTCTGCAGCCCTTTCTGTAACATGGCTGGGTACAAGTATATGACTCATGACTGGGTGGGAGGAGATGGTCTCTGAGGCCCAGCAGCCCCCTTCCAGCCAAACCCTGGCAGGAGGATGTTCTTGTGCTTCGTGGGCTGAGAAAACCCTGTGGCTTTGCTGGGAGAAAAGGCTTGGGGAAGCAGAGCCCAGGAATGGGGACCAGCCACAGAGGGCGGGGTGGTGGCCCCAAATCTGTGTGGTATGCAGAACGGTCACCC